TGCCCATTGTTCAGTTTATGATTAGCTCATGGGAAGATAAATATACCCGAAGGATAGGACTTTCTCGCATGCAAGACTATATAGGGGTCGAAACGGTACTCGCCAAGGTCGCATTCCTAAACCGTATGAAGTGATTTGCTGCCGATGCAATCATGATATTTTGCGTTAACAACAGAAGCAACCGTCAATGAGACAAGACAAGAAAAATCAAAATCTGGTCGGTCACAGTCTGCTTAGAGTCCAGCCGTGGAGGGGACGTTAATGACTGCAGCGGTCATCAGGGCGTGGGGAGATGTGACCATGATATCTCTTTGTTGACCGGCCAAACTACGAGCAGGCGGCGAAAACAGAGGGGTCCGCCAGGATCGTCAACAGATCGCTTGGGGGGGAAATGAGATGACATTAAAATCCTCGAAAATATCTGCTGCATAGGAAAAGTGATGAAAGCGGGCTTGGCAGCCAATTAACAACCGAGGTTAAAGTTTCCAATTGAAGGAGCAAAAGTTGTATTATCTGCCGTGAAATCCCAGAAGCACCCTTTTCAAGGTCCAGAGGTTGAATGTTCACGAACGGAACCGTCGTTAATGAATTTGTGCTTCCCGGGATAGGATGCTCACATAATTTTCATTTGAGCACTGATGATTTCGGCGATGACCTATGTTCCAATGGATAACACTGAAGGAATTACACGTCGTGTAAGACCGATCCATCGTAGTGTCAGCGTCAGTACGCGAAAAATATGATCTGGAATTAATACGAAACGGGAAGCACTCATCGAGGGTAGTAGGACTGACGTCATCTACCCGAATCACAGGAAGGTATTCGACATCATTCCACGTAAACGCCTAGTCTGTAAACTATTTGAAATTGAAAGAGGTGGTAATCTGTTGATACGGATCGCAGATTTTGTTTGAAGGAGCTCGCAAACCGTTTGCGCGGATGCCTCAAAGTCAGCCCCCTTCCCCGTTATAAGTAATATGCCACAGGACTCAGTCTCAGAGCCGCTGTGTCTTCTGGTCCACATCAACAACTGCGTCGACGACCGGGGATGCAGTGCCGTCATGTTTGCTGGCCATTTTAAACTGTAAAAAGGCATAAAATCTGACAAAGACAATCACGCGTTTTAAGAGAATCTCAACTGACCTAGCAGCTGGTCAGCACATTGGCTCCTAAATTGTAATGTTGACAAATATATTGACCTGAGACACCGTCCCAGAAGGACCAGCGATGAGGATGATTCCCTCTCATATTTCCTCGGTAACAAGCCATTTTAAAGGTTGAGCAACAGAAAGACGCGCGCATTCACTTAATGCTGTAATTTCTTCACATTTTTGCTTGTTTATCGATTTTTTATGTACAAATAGGGAGTTCAAAGGCGTAAGCCTATTTCCCTCAAATACACTGACTGACTGACTGACTGACTGACTGAAATGTACTATCAGTGTTGAGACGAGGATTTGTGTAGATCGATAAAGAGATGTTCGAAAAGGCCTATGGGACATTCACTGGCCTCAGTCAGATTTTGCCATCCAGAACTGTCGTGCATGATTCAAGAAGGATGATCAACAGCTGGAACGAGTACGGGCGATGACAAAGAAGATGATCAAGAATCTTGGTCGTGTGCTTCACGAAACTAAACTGGCTGAACTTAATCTGTTTTTCTCAATCACAGTTGAATGCACGGCGAACTCAAACAAACGTACCGGATTGCCAAAGGCAGTAAGTATGTTTTAGACCTTAGCGACTTCTTCGAATTGGTTGGAACGAACCGTCTGTATAGTCGCCCCTTTAAACTGCAAAGGGGGTTAGTCCATAGAGACGTCCGACGGAACGCCTTCTTGCAGAGGGTCATTTGGTATGGAGCGGACTCCCTGACGCGGTGGTTCTGAACGAAGCCGTTTAGTCATTTAAATGCAGACTGGACCTTCGTTTGCTGAGAAACTACTGTGTATAAAATTACGGTCGTGTCCGTGGCGGCAGTTTGTGCCTGGCTCGCACATACCGATGGCATTTGAACTTCGAAATTACTGGTATATTAATAGATTCTATTGCAAATTTTGGACATAAATAGGGAGCTCAACAGACTGACTAAAATTTAATTAAACCCACAAAACGTAATCTCTCAGCCTAAAACATGCCGGATCCAGCTTAAAATAAGAGTCTTCGAGAGAAAATCATCTAAAAATTATCGATTTGACTATGTATGTTTCAGCCCTTTGTCGGTACGCAGCCTGAGGGTCACTGTGGTTGTGGTGCAAACAGGATGGCAGTCCACTCATTGTTTATGCTCTCATGTACTTTTTCAGCCCATCCACGGGCGTTAGAATAGAATAAATAATTCCTTAAATTTCGGTAAAGCAAATGAATTGATCGAGTGAACATTTAGGAGTACGTCATGGATTCCTCGGAGGGTTTGATGAAGCGAGTAGTTCAAGCTGCTTACACGGTATGACAAGCATTAGGACGACGTTAAGATGGACGACAACCGTTAGCCGGCATACAACAATATCAGCAGAAAAAAGCCCTCCGGTTGATCAAATTAAACAAGTAGAATTATTCCGTGTATCCAGAGATACCATTGTAACTGGACATTAAGACGATGAGGGCTATTTTAGGAGTTCGTTTTATGCATTTCGGTCTATCTATCTACCTATCTATCTTTTCTAGAGTTGGGCATCTGTGTCATCAGGTAAATATAACATATCATATGAAATTTCGGGAAAACAAAAACATTGCAGCATTTACAAAATATAAAGTTCAAAGAACTAAGGTGAAAGGCCTGATTTTAAGGAGGAGACGGGATTTAGAAAGTGATTTGCTTCACCGAGTCGTTAAAAATCCGAAATTGCTCTATAGATATTTGTGGAAGAGCACACGTAACAGGAATCCCGTTCCTGTCATGAGGAATGATGACGGTTTGGAGATATCGGACAGTAAAAATAAAGCTGAGCATTTTTCTAAATATTTCCAATCCGTTTTCACAGGAGAAGCAGACTTTATTCCAACTAGTCCCGAGGACATGGGAGATCCCACTATCGAAGATATCGTATTTCGAGAATCAACGATTTTGGAAGGAATAAAAAGCTGGAACGAATGTAAATCTCCCGGTCCCGACGAGATCCCAGCAAAGCTGCTTTTCGAGCTTGCCCGAGAGCTGGCCAAACCACTATCCTTTCTGTGCCAGGAATCGTTCGATGCTGAAATCCTTCCCACAGGCTGGAAGACGGCCCACATTACACCCCTTTACATAAGCGGTAGTCGGGCTCTTGCAACGAACTACAGACGCGTTAGTCTGACATCAATCTGCTGCAAAGCGATGGAGAAAATCATCAAAAAGGACTTGATGACTTATCTGGAAAGTCAAAGTCTCTAGTCCAAAGCACAATATGGTTTCCGTAGGGTAAGATCATGTGTAACGAACTTGCTATATACAATGCAAAGTTGGACAAGAGCACTGGACGCAAAACACACTGTGCACGTGGCCTATATTGATTTCTGGAAGGCGTTTGACAGTGTCTCGCACCAGCGTCTCCTGCACAAGTTGAGAATAATGGGCATCGGCGGCAAACTTCTCAAATGGATCGAGAACATCCTCGTCCACCGTCACCTAATTGTCTGCGTAGAAAGACAGCAATCAAGGCGGACATTCATAGGGAGTGGAGTCCCACAAGGCTCGTTGCTCGGACCAACCCTCTTTCTCTTGTTCATCAATGATTGTATAGATGGTTTGGACTGTGATAATGCTATGTTTGCGGATGACATAAAAATCTGGAAAGTTATCCAGAATGCTACCGATGAGACCAACTTCCAAGAAAATCTTTGTCGATTGGACGAGTAGTCCCGCAGATGGCTCCTGTCCTTCAATTTGACCAAATGTAGCATACTGCGCTTCGGAAATCAGACCCCTAGTACGCGGCAATACCATCTGAACGGAAAACCACTTCGAGAAGCAGAAACGCAGAAAGATCTCGGAGTCTGGGTTGTAGACAGCCTTAAGCCTTCTACGCAATGTTGTAAGGCGGCCAAGGCCGCAACTTCAATGCTATATGCCATCAAGCGGGCATTTGCAGTTTTCGATGAAGACTGCTTCTCCAAAGTCTTCGGCACGTTTGTAAGGCCGCACCTCGAATATGCAATTCAGGCCTGGAGACCATGGACACATCAGGATTACAATCTGCTTGCAAGGATGCAGAGGCGAGCCACAAAATAAGTAAGAGGTCAAAGTGCACTGCCATACGAGATCCGCTTAACTAACCTTAATCTGTATTCCCTGAGTTATAGGTAGTTGCGCGGAGACTGGATACAAACTTTCCGTATCGTGCGTGGCTTGGACTGCACCCTTCGGTACGATGAATTTTTCCAACTCGCCACAACAACTAACCTCGAGGACATCCCTTAAAGCTACATGTGCCCCAGGGTAGATTGAATGTGAGAAAATATTTCTTCTCCAACCGTGTCGTGGAACCGTGGAATAATCTGCCCGAGACGGTTGTCATGTCTCAATCTGTGGCGACATTTAAATGCAGACTTGACAGACATATGCTACGGCACCAAGCGAACTATGTGACTTTTTAGCCATGAGACCAGGGTCATATGTGAATCAATGCCTGCATACACTTACTGCTGTAATTTCTTCATATTTTGCTAATGTATCGATTTTTTATGTACAAATAGGGAGTTCAAATCGTAAGCCTATTTCCCTCAAATACACTGACTGACTGACTGAATACAAAGCCGATTTAATATTTCTGTCGGGAAGGCCATTAGTGAGCTTTACTTTTAGTTGGAAACACGGTAAGAAAAAGGTGCCAAAAGATCAAGGCGCCTGTCTGCCCCTGTACACACACGGAGCACATGAACCCTGATAAACGCAGCGGTGTTTTACTCAGCTGTAATTCATAGGGGAAACATGTGTGTATATATACCGATTCTCCAGCTTCCCCCTGGTGTACTGATGCAGTCTGCAGGTATCTCTCGCTCATTGTTTTCACGCCGTAAGGATGGAAAATGTGAGTTTTTTACATTGTCTTTTGATCCGTTGTTTTCCTTATTCAGAACTGTGTTTGGTTGAGTGTCCTACCGGGAGTTAACGCACAGTACGAGCGAAGTCGCCCGCTAACTCTGCCTCTATAGGGTCGATCCTAATGAATTCTCATGACCTAGGGCATGATAATTCACCACCAATTATGTTCTTTTCGTTATTTATGATGTGCCAGTTGTTAGAAGCCCTAATAACAATTCTGTCCGGAATCTACGCAGACAGTTAAACAAGTCCGAGCAGAATCTGCGTAGACGTTGTCCCACCTAATCTGCGTAGAATTTGTGCAGAGTCTGCGCAGCTAGCTGAACCTTAACTACTAGACACCTTTTGAGCAGATGTCCCGCCAGTCCTAGCGCGACGCGATAAAAGTAAATCCAGTCGCCATTGACTGCTATAGCTAGTATGCTGACTGTCCTATAGGGTTGCCTGTCTTTGTTGATTTCACATATTCTTCTGTTTGGTTGGCAGACAAAGAATGCTCTGTTACGGACGCGGAGATTTTTCTCAAACAGACTGCTCTCCCGTAAACAGATGATTGTGGATATTATTCACCCCGGACGTCGGGCCCTTTCGCGGGAGGCTATCTGTGATTTACTGGCCAGGAAGTTCAAAACTACGTCGGACGTTGTATTTGCCTTTGGCTTCCGCACGAAGTTTGGTGGTGGGAAGTCTTCGGGGTTCGTGAACGTTTACGATTCAGCTGACTTTGCGATAAAGTTCGAACCGAAGCATCGCCTTCTTCGCGTAAGTTGCGCATTTAAAATTCACGGTTTTATAGAACGGTCTGCTGGTAGTAACAGAGAGAAAGGCACGCGTGCTGCGGAAGAAAACGAAGAACGAAATGAAGAATATCCGTGGTATAGCCAAGTTGACCGGAATTCCGAGGCAAAAGAAGTCGAAAAATTAACATAGAAACGATCCCATCTCAAGCATCCATCGTATACCTAACTTCAAGGCGTTTCCCGCAATTATCAGGCGTTGTTTATTTTCCATTGTATGCATGAAATCAGTCCTTGCTCATCTTGTTATTCCCACAGCAAAGGCCTTGCATAATGCTGCTAGAGTGATTCCCTTATGTTGATTGTTGTCATCTGAGTTTGGTGAACATGGATTACGAATAAAGGTGAATAAACTCGATCGTCCTGAATTTTAATGGTTGTCAAAATATCATTGATCGGTCTGCCCGATTATGCGTTAAGAATTTATTTTTCGACTTGAAAGAAGTAAAAGCGGTCCTAATGTTTACCTGAACACCTCAGTCAAAAGTGCCAACGCTCCTTCAATGTATGTTCAGCTTGCACACACGCTTCGCAAGTTCGGGTCCTAACTGCCCGCTTTTTTGTTTTGTAGAATTCTGGTTAGTGTAAATCGTGGACCAGGGGATGTGGTGGGACGCCCAGGTGCGGGATTTTGTGTCAATCACTGCCTTCTCCCGCTTTAAGTTACTTTGGCTCCGCCATGACACCGGGCTCAGATGGGGGAGGAGAGAGTGCGGTAGATGTTGTGCAAGTCCACCATCATTATCATGGATTCATGCTCAATCCGCCGTCCCCGCTGCCACCTTGCTGTTAAGCGGACGGTGGACATCGTCGGAAACGAGGGTAGAACTGTCGTATCGTTCAGAGAGCGGCAGTAAGAGATCAGCACAGTTCGCAGAACCGTCACTAAGCGTTTACCATGCAAAGGAACCGTTGCTACTGACGTTTGGTTGTTGGTGAAGGGAAATCACGAATAGATACAACCTTGGAGGACAGAGCACACAAATCTTCTGAATCTAAATTATATCCCGGGTGGTCGAGGGGCGCACGCCAAATGCGCGCTGGGAAGAATTGTCGGTTGCCGTACTTGTTTGGCAGTCAAAGACTGGGGTGAGGCGCCTCTTGTGTTCCGAAACGTCCCAAATAGTCACTTAGAGGGAATATTTGTAGGCAGGTCACACAAGACAGTCGATATACATCTGGGACGTCCGGGCAGCATTGTGAAGGACACGTGGACGAATGGGAAGAGGCCGAACGGGTGGCGACGACATTCTTAGAACATACACTAGGTCGAACTTAGGGAAAAAAGTTTTGTCAGAAAGGGCTCCACTTTGGGTAGCACTTGGGATGACAATCCGGCGTTCTCGGACGATCGGAGGATACTGAGTTGTAGCATGCGTTCGAACTGTCTTCGAGGCCTGCATGGGGGTCGCCACCAGCAGCCTAGGTCAAACGAACCTAGGAGGACCTGATGCATGGCGTCATGTCAAGTCTCGCAACGGCGGGATTGGTGGTCTGTATTCTTGTTGATTTGAAGGAGGAAATCCCAATAGGAGAGAGCAACGTCTACACCAGAACAAATAAGTTTATGAATGTGTAAGTAGACTTAAATCGCGAAAGGACTGACCAGGTGTGCGGTCGAGTTATTTGTAACCCTGGCGGTCCAAATGAAGATCGGACTCGGAAGTCACCGCCGAATATTGTGCTGGGAACCGTATCAACAATGAAAATTTGGGTCAACGAACGATGGATGTTCGAATTTAACGTGAGGTAAATGCGAAAACAGTTGACAATCTGGATATGGGGACCAGGATCGGGGCAGCGCGGCTCAGCCAGAGTTGGCAAGACTACGTAGGTCTGGACTGGGTAGTCCACGAGGGAACGTCCGCGATCCGGGCCGTCACAGATGCAGAAAGTGCAACCGGACCACGGGTACCAGAGAGGGCACTGATCTCTATCTCCCGGTTGACTTTCTCTCAATGGACTTCAAGGAACAGGAAGAATACTGACGGACCTTGACACTAAAGTTCGTGTGGTGCCAAATAGTGTTGACTGTTGGAAGCCATGAGTGAGAAAGTCGTCAAAGCGGCTGCGCGATATGAGAGGGCTGAGGTCGTTGTGTCATGTCAGAAACCAGGGTTAATTAGTCTATGTCAGGGGCATTGTGAGGAGGAAGGGAAAGCAATCTGCCAGTGAGTTATGCCTATATTTCGTCGCTGCAACGCGACGTGAGAGGGTGTGGGTGAGAACATTTGGGACTTAGCTTAGGTCCAGAAAACTTGGAAGCGTGAAGGAATGCCTTCTGTGAGCAGGTTGGGTTGGCTGGTCGTATAACGCCTCGACTTTCGTAAGTATCCACTGGCGCAGGAACTTTGACTTCTTCGCCGGTAATTTGTAGACGACCCAAAGTGCGTGGTCGGTGTCTACCCACTGTCTGATCTCGACCAGGCAAGTCACAATGGCGTTAGAGGTGGCCTTATTTAACCAGACAGGAGGGTGCCCTCGTATCCGTCTGGGTAGGCGTTAAATCGTTCGACCAATATAGTCTGCATCGCAGGAGCAAGTGAAGCTGTGGATGCAGGAAATGTAGATATAGGAGAAGTCTGGAAGGGCTGCCTATACTTGCCTTCATGTCGAAGAAGCGGAGTGCCTAGAAAACTAGTCTAATCCTAACCGCTGGGCACATGTGTGCAGTGTCAAAGCCCAGGCGACGTCGTAGGAGTTCGCTGGCCGGGTCCCCCGAAACTACAAAGTGAGGAATGGCTCCGTAATTCCAGCCGTTGGCATGGCAAAAGGTCTCGCTCTCAAACAGTGGTTTTACAGGATTAGGTTGGTATACAGGTAAACGGGTCTGTTGCCATCAGTTCAGTCTTCAGGAAGCACTCGGTCAATGCCGTTGGCGGCTCATATTGTTCGCTTTAAGATCCAATTACCCGCCTCGATAGTTTTTCCAGCAAATCCAGACAAGGGGATGTCGTCCTGCCCGCGTAGACTTCAGCGACAGTACGCCCTGATGCCTTCACGTCTGCCGCATAGTTGAGAAGCATTTAAAGCTGACCTGGTGACTCAACACTGTGTGACTAGCCAAACTATTTGCATTAGTCAGCCCAAAGTTCCGTAGTCGAGTGCCTGGTAGCAAATTCGTGGCCAGTAACGAAACTGACAGCATCTACAGGTTGGGATGGATTGCCATTTACAAAAGTCTCAGATTTCATCTCCAATCTGCGCCGAAATGTCTAGTGCAAGATATCCTGATGTCGAGAACGTAAAGACTCCAACAAATGGTCATCGGCGAAGCAGCCTGTACACAAGGCAGTCTAAAAAAATTTCGCGTGCATTTAGTGGGACCGCAGTTGGTCCAGCTAGCGGAAGAAACTCATAGTTGCCCACGGAAACAGACCGAGTTAGAACTTGCATCAGCCGATCATAGAAGGTGGGGACAGATTTGGCTCGAGGTTACCGTGCAAACTACTGGACTGAAGCCGCCACTGTTAGGTCGCAGGTCTCACGCATCGGTGATACTCGAAAAGCAACCTATTTGCCAAATTAGTGGGGGGATCTGCTGCAGTGAAAAACTGCGTTCGTACTGAGAATGACCACTTCTAACCGCTTGGTGGAACACCTCCTCAACCATGCCATTGGGTCAACCACCACCTCTCTCCCTCTTCTCAGAGGCGGATTTTGTTATTTTCCAGCTTCTGCGGTGCCCTGTGGTCCCCCTTCCTAGGGAACAGCCACAGCTGCCATCCTGGAGTTGTGCATAATCAAAACGCGTCCAGAGGACAGGATTTCAGCTGAAGTCTATAAGTTTTGTGCCGGCACTGACGTCGTAACCCTATTTATTTGTTAAACAGGTTCTAAGAGATGAAATCACTCCTGATGGCTGAGACCCAGGCTCTCCTCAAAGTGGAGGAGTTGCCACAGCATACGTCTCATCGCAATACTACGGACGTCCTTCACCTTATTATTTTTAAATGGTTTCGGAGGGGGGAGGGCGTAGCTCGAGGGACGAAAGTCAGTCAAACCGAGTTACCAGCTGGACATAAGTGCTTCGACGAGGTATTTACGCTGCGGTGAATCTTGAAACTCCATTGCGGCCACTGGCGTCTGACTGTCGCTTGCATTATTGACTTCGTTGCAGCCTTCAGGCTACGACTGATGCCTACAATTACTAGATCACTGCGCGGGCTACGGTTCGGAAATGGTTCCTCAGGCATTCGATATCCGGTCTGACGTTTGACAGGATTTCATCCTATCACCCATCCTATTTAACTACGTCATGAAATGCATTCATAGAGGACCTTTACGCAGTCTGGATTGCAAGTGGAATTCTCAGCAGGACACCGATTGGCTACAGCAACTACGTCAACGGTAGCGGCTTGACAGAGTCAGACCATGACAGTTACAGAATTCAAGGCACCATATGAACGATGTCGCCAGATCAGCCTGTTTTTCCGGCAGTACTGCGAAACCTAAATTACTTTCGAGCTGCATACAACTGTTGCATAATTAACCATAGTGAGCGCATAGGTGCTAGATAAAAGCCCAAACACGTGCTTAGCCGGAATTCTGCCGCTGCATGACACAGCTGCAAGGTGTTCGGCTCATCAGTGTGTCCCCCCAGCGCTCCCTTTTATGCTTTTTGGTAGATCCTCTTGTTTTGGAATTTCGAATTTTCCATCCTCTCAAAAAGTAATCGTTAGCTTGGAGTAAGTCAGTCGAAATAAAACGCTAGGGGCACAGTCCGAAAGTCGACATAAGTAGTTGGGTCGAAATCCATAATCTACAACGATATAGCTACATAATATCCATAAACTGTCAGCAGGCAGCTAGTAGTGGTGCTCACATGCTGCATGATTTACCGTCCTAATAACCCAAGTACTAGCTAAATGCCTAGACAGGGCTTTCGCCGTTTTCCCGCCGTTGGATGACACAGTTGCGATAGGTTCCACCCATCAATGGACTCTCAGCGTTCTCCCAAGCGCTTTGTGATCGACACTTCAGTTGTATTTCTGAAAAAGAGAAACCATTCCTGGTGAGCGACGACTGCCGGCTTGAAGAAGTTGCCAGTTTCAAGTGGCTCGGCATGAAGTGACTGCCAAACGACAGAGTAAGTATGACACTGTTTCCCGAATGGATATTGCTCGCG